TAGGGTGACCAGACAGCAAGTGTGAAAAATCGGGACGGGGGTGGGGGGGGTAATAGGACCCTATATAAGAAAAAGACCCAAAAATCGGGACTGTCCCTATAAAATCGGGACATCTGGTCACCCTGTGTAGTGATTTTCCCCAGACTTGCTTTGCTTTCAGGGATCTGATGAAATCACAGCTCGAGGAGGTAATATGACTGCAGATCTACTGAACAATTCAGCAAAAATGCGGGGACTTGAGATCCACGGTTGACTGCAGCTGGTTTGAATACCTCATGTCGGAATGACTCAGTTGGTAGCACTCATCTGAGTCAGACTGTAGAGCTGAAGTCCCACAGCAGGACCTAAGGGCATATCTCATGCTGATGCTACAGTGCAGTACAGTGAGCCTGGAACACTGTTAGGAGCGGTTAGATGCATTGTATTCTGAACTTGTACACTATCATCTCAGTACACGATGCAACTTAATATGAGGCACCATAGCAAGATGTGTAGTCTACAGTGCCTGTCCCAAAACCGCATGATCCCTGCGGTTAAGAGAAACTGGCTCTTAAATGTTGAAGCTGGCAGTGGAAGGGTGTTTAATATAATATACCTTACATTTATCCCACGGCATTATGCAAACTTCCAACCATTGAAATGCAGCCACTTCTAGGACAGAGTGCAGCACCTGCCACACTCCACAGCAGCGGGATGGAGGGGAAGTTTTGACTATGGTTACTGAGGAAAATCTTAATTCTTAACAAATGTGTATGGGTTCATTAACGTCCACACACAAACAGATGGGACTTTGGAGTTTGGAAGGGCCTGCCTGAAAGTCCCACTGAAATATACGAAAGGCTGAAACTGGCTCTAGTCAAATGGAAATACAGGTTTGTATTTGTGTAACATGAATGCGTTTCAGGATTAGTACTGATGACAGCCAGCTGCTTTATTAATGATGACAGCTGTGAGACTACGGCCATCTTTGTTTCCAAGCAGGTAGAAGGTGTGTCCATTTGACACATACCTAACATAACTGGCTGCCTTACTATGTTAAGAAAAATGTCATTTTTTTGTGATGCTGCCTTTATTGATGCTCAGCCAGCCAATATCCCCTTTTTTCCAAAGCACTGCGTTTAGTAGGTGCAAGCTTCTTTCAGCCCCTGCCACTATAGAAGGGCTTCTAAATTCAGGGCCCAGTCCTAATGAGAGTTCACCCTGCAGAATCAGGGCTGTAACCTCTAGATCCACCAGACCAGTTGGTGGCTGCAGCTGCTGCTGCTGCTGCATTGCACGGATGGGATTTGTGAGTTGAATTTTGAGCAGTTTGAGGGAGTGCTTAGGAATAAGTAGTCCATCCAGAGCAGTGATATTCATGCTTATTTCCCATTAATACTAATGGGACATCCTGTTAATAGATCCATGTGTATCCAGAGGAGAATAAACCTGTTATTGCAGATTTCTTAGTAAGGAGTCATAAAAGACACTCTACCCTGCCCTCCCCCCATGGGTAACAGTGACATTTGTGTGTTAATCTCTTCCCTTCCCAACCCCCATCCCCCAAACAGATTCAGCAAGCAATTTATGGTGACTTGCAGAACCACACTGTGCTTGTCATAGCCCACAGGCTGAGCACTGTCGAGAAGGCACACAACATCATTGTTTTAGACAAGGGCCGAGTGGTGCAGCAGGGAATGCACAAGGAGCTCATGGAAGAAGGCGGCCTTTATTCCAAGCTGGTGCAGAGACAGATCCTCGGGCTCGAAACTGGCACAGGGGACGGCTATCATCTGGAGACTAGCTTAGCTGCTGCCAGTGGACATTCGATGAAGCCGCCGGGAGGACTGGATGAAGAGTTCAGGGTGTGACATGCTCTCTCTGGATTGAGACAGGATGGTTACAATCCTGTAGCTCACAAGTGAGAGAGCACCAGGGATTCCATGCAAGATTCTTGCTGGGATGCTGAAACAGGAGTCCACTGTAGTCCAGACTCGGACACATTACTGTAGAACAAGGCCTGTTTACTAGTCACGCATACTAACCTTCCAGTAGGCAGACTGGTAAAACAGGGAAACAATGGGCCTGGTTTATTAAGGGGAGTTGGGTCTTTAGCAATTCCCAGGTATTTCTACTGGGTTTCTTTTCTTAGAGTCAGCAATTCCCAAGGCAGTTGATGAGGTCTGTTCTCTCCCTGATATGCCTGTTTAACTGCTGTTAATTGTAATGGGTGTTATACACATGCATGGAGGGGAAGAATGAACCCTCTTAAGGAACTTCAGGAGGTAGTTCTGTGAATTGGTAGGGAGACATTGAACATAAAGTAAGAGCTTGATCCTGCAGTCAGTCTGGTGCCAATCCCACACTCAGTGAAGTCAATGGAAAGACTCCCATTGGTTTCAATGGGAGCTGGATCAGCCCCGAAGTGCAGAACTCTTATTCAAATCTATGAGAGTTCTGCACAGAGTGTCTGCAGGTTCAGGTTCTGGTCTAAACCACTACCATGCAGAGCTTTTATTAGCTTCATTGCAGTGAGCCAGGGGCCCACCGGCAAATCCTGCCTTCTGAATCGCTGATGGAGTTTGGTGATTTTTTTTGTTTGTAAAGGATGTAAAATTTTACCATCGCTTGGTTAATTTTTTTTAAATGGCTCTATCTCTATGGGCACCAGCATGGTTTCTGTCTGGCTCCATCATCCATTGAAAGCCAGTCAGTCTTATGTTTGTTTTTAAATTCACAATTTCAGTGCCAGGTTGATAAATATTACCTAAAACCAGGCATAAAATATAAATGATGGCACTTTATAAACCCTACCTAGGCCCCATTCAACTATGGGGTATGCTTCTAGCAGTGTCAGTGCATGAGAAATCCATACAGCCGCGTTCCTTGAAATCTAACTGCAACTGCCTGAATCCACATTTAGTTCTTTGATTATTTTTGTTAATTAGTTATTTATTTATTTATTAGTCGGAGGGCAGAAAGAAAGATACCATTTCTAACTGCATACAACACTGGTGGATCTGGTCCAATCTTACTACCACTCCATAAAGATTGGCAGGAATGTTTATGCAGCCAGCAAGGTGCTAGTTTAAAAATAGCATTAATTGTATCTTATACAGGGAAGATTGATTCAGGTTGCGCAATTATTTAATGACCTCAAGCACTTTAGCGCTCGTGTTAATTACTTTCCGGGGTTTGGATGCTGCTCTGGAATACTTCATGGCAGCTTTCTCGTTTGCAATGTTATTTTTTATTTTTAAAGTGACATTTTACAAACTGTTTTAGTGTCCTCAAAGGGGATACTTTAAAAATAAAATACTACCTCTGCCGTTCAACTTCATAACCAGCGTCTCAAGGCTTGATTCATTTACAAATAAGTTGCAGGTTATTTTTAACGAGACAACTTGTGAATACAACCACATACCTTTCTGGCCCTGTCATTGGGAATGATGAGATGCAATACCTACAAGGATCAGGTTATGCTGAACATCAGCTAATCATATTGAATCCTAACAGTAGGTGTAACCAGCTTCATGACTTGTTTTTATTCTGTCTCTCATTTGGTTAGTATGTCTGCCCTTCTGTGTGATATTATCTCATCATTTCACAAAGCAATGTGCCCCATGACCAGCTCTATCTTTAGTAGCCAGCCTTTGTAATGTGATAAAAGTCTGGGCCTTGGAATTCAAAGGTAACCCAAGGGTGATGCCATTCCTAGTACAATCTTTTGTTTTATCTTCCGGTGCTTGTGAAATTCTGCCTCATTCTAGAGCAGAGGTTCTCAAACTGAGGGTCAGGACCCCTTAGGGGCTTGTGAGGTGATTACATAGGGGTCGCAAGCTGTCAACCTCCACCCCAAACCCTGCTTTGCCTCCATCATTTATAATGGTGTTAAATATATAAAAAAGTGTTTTTAATTTATAGGGGGGGTCGCACTCAGAGGCTTGCTATGTGAAAGGGAACAGAGGGTCCTGTGGCACCTTTAAGACTAACAGAAGTATTGGGAGCATAAGCTTTCACGGGTAAGAACCTCACTTCTTCAGATGCAAGGCTTGCA